CAACTAAGAGGTCAACAGGGAAGATGACAACACAGCTCTTAAATCATCTATAGAAGTGCACAACTAAGAGGTCAACAGGGAAGATGACAACACAGCTCTTAAATCATCTATAGAAGTGCACAACTAAGAGGTCAACAGGGAAGATTACAACACAGCTCTTCAATCATCTATAGAATTGGACAACTCAGAGGTCAACAGGGAAGATGACAACACAGCTCTTAAATCATCTATAGAAGTGCACAACTAAGAGGTCAACAGGGAAGATGACAACACAGCTCTTAAATCATCTATAGAAATGCACAACTCAGAGGTCAACAGGGAAGATTACAACACAGCTCTTAAATCATCTATAGAAGTGGACAACTCAGAGGTCAACAGGGAAGATGACAACACAGCTCTTAAATCATCTGGCTTGAGCTTATCACAGTGGTTTCTACTGAGGTAAGAATAACCAAAAACACGTGGTTTAATGATTATGGCACGATCTATTGATGGGCCCAGGTGTAAGTTGAGTCATGTAGGGTTTGTACTTCAGTTAAAAGGTGAATGTATTCGAGCAACTCAAGTGTCTTTCTCCACATTACATTTAGTCTCAAATGAGAACTACCGATAAACTGGTGACAGTCTACGAAAATACGCGTTGTTAGAGACGAAACTTCTGATTCGTTTAAAATAACCAATCGGAGAGATACTGCAGCCACACAGTGAAAGAAAAAAGGTCTAAGAAGAACGGATATCCAGAAGAGCAAGATACTATGATTAGTACTACAACCATGTTAACTAACAAGGAAATTAGGACTAGTTCTCCTGTCATTAACACTACTATGTTAACTAATATTAGTTTTTACGAAAACAACGCTAACATGAAAATCATGACTGGTTATGTCTTTTGCTATACTTTCAACAACTCAGAGAGTGGAAAACAAAACTTTGTAGAAACAAACACGAACTACACTTCTACCTGTACGCGTAGAGACAAACACTGACTACACTTCTACCTGTATGTGTAGAGACAAACACGAACTACACTTCTACCTGTACGTGTAGAGACAAACAAACACGTACTACACTTCTACATGTATGTGTAGAAACAAACACGTACTACACTTCTACCTGTATGTGTAGAGACAAACACGAGCTACACTTCTACATGTATGTGTAGAGACAAACACGAACTACACTTCTACCTGTACGTGTAGAGACAAACACGGACTACACTTCTACATGTACGTGTAGAGACAAACACGAACTACACTTCTACCTGTACGTGTAGAAACAAACACGGACTACACTTCTACCTGTATGTGTAGAAACAAACAAACACGGACTACACTTCTACCTGTATGTGTAGAAACAAACAAACACGGACTACACTTCTACCTGTATGTGTAGAGACAAACAAACACGGACTACACTTCTACCTGTAAGTGTAGAAACAAACAAACACGAACCTACACTTCTACCTGTATGTGTAGAAACAAACAAACACGGACTACACTTCTACCTGTATGTGTAGAAACAAACAAACACGTACTACACTTCTACCTGTATGTGTAGAAACAAACAAACACGGACTACACTTCTACCTGTATGTGTAGAGACAAACACGGACTACACTTGTATCTGTACGTGTAGAAACAAACACGGAGTACACTTCTAGCTGTATGTGTAGAAACAAACACGAACTACACTTCTACCTGTATGTGTAGAAACAAACAAACACGAACTACACTTCTACCTGTATGTGTAGAAACAAACAAACACGAACTACACTTGTACATGTACGT